CGCCGCACCTTGGAGTACAGGGAGACGAGCAAGGGCACGTTGTCCACCTGTGCGCGCTGGAGCCGTTGGGGGATTCAGGCGTTGATATTTGGAGCTCGCTGCTGGATTGACACTCATCGGCTTTTTCCCTCCCTTTTCCGTACTCCTGGGATCCGAAACCATCAATCGAAATGTGTGTCGACAAGCTCTTGGTACGCCGGTGTTGGAGGAAGGCTGAAGAGCGGAGGGGATTCTGTCTCCAAGCAACTAACTTGACTTGACTCATATCGAGTCTTTCAGCTCTTCTGCTCAGGAACCTAATTATTGTCAATATATTTCAATATGCTGACTTTCGTGAGGCTGGAAACTATCGCCGGCTTTCTTATAGAGGTTACAAGTATGTTCGAACAACTGTAGTATTTACGGCTCATGACAGCTGCGATGATGTGATACGTGTGAAACTGATGGCGGTGACGATGCTGCTGAGGGATGATGGATAGAAGCCTTCAAGAAAACCATCAAATCCTAGGACTGAAGCCCTCAACAGATCTGTGGATTTTGCGGCAGCCCTTCTTCGGTTGCTGCTTTTCCCGCTGCTAGTGGTACGCCCCCCGTTCCCAAAGACCAAAGCCCCTAGCAGCCCCAAACCCTCCTCATTGCAGTAAGAGTAAGTAAGAACTTAAGCCGTAAAGATACTACTTATCGTCATCTCCATCACACCTAAGACACCCCCCCAGCCTCCTTCACGTGTCGCCGAATTTTAGCGATGCCGGAAGGGAGCACTACCTGAAGATGAGGGTTTGAGCGGCTTCGGGTTTGGTGCTGCGGCGTGGCATCTTGTGACGGTGTAGTACGTCTCACATCCGACAAATCGATCCTGAATCCACCAAATTATGAAGCCTCGCAGGCTTGAAAGCACAGAGACTGTAGCCTGATACAATCCCTGCAGAATTATAGAAGCATTTCTCTCCACAGACCTATGAATTGGCTTTTGGTCTTTCGACTGTACAACCGTAAACCCTGAACCTTAGACCCCGAACCTTTAACCTTAAACCCTAAACCTTACACCCTCAACCCTGAACCGTAAGCCCTGCAGTACATTTCCTATCCAAGGCCAGCCTGACCCATCATGTTCTTCACCTGCCCGGGGAGAGGCTTCTCAAGGGGTTCCTTCAAAGGTTTCCGTTGAGGGCTTGACACGGTGCCGCGTATTGAGTTCTAGAATAAGTGTTGTATAGGGAAGCGGGTAGAGGGATTTTGGCCCTAGAGTCTTGCGGATTCTACACGGGAGTTGGGCTTAGAAATTGGGGTGATACCAGGAGTGCGAATCCACTGGACCCCTATCGGCATAATTTGATCAACATCAAAGGCACTTGCTAGAAAGCGCATTGCTAGTATTGCAGTCATGAGAGAAGGTCAACGTTCTTAACAGGATGATAACACAAAGAAACATGCTGCGACGCCGCGACGACGACATCCAGCGGAGAGATGACGATCGCGAAGAAAAAGATTATCATGATCATGATGATGCTGATACTGCTGCTGATGACGATGATGACTATGATGATCATGATGACGAGGATGATGAAGATAAGGATGAGGAGGATGATGAGGAAGAGCCGCGCCCGTCCCACTGATTATGCACTTGTTATGGCTATTGTGATGTGATCTAGTGCTCCTGCATGCTCCTGCTGCTGTCATTGCTACAGGCATTACCATTGTCGCCACTGACATTCAACGGACCAGCAAGCAACCATATCCAAGGCCCATCGGCTCCCGTCTGCCTGCCGGGCACTTGGCTCCAGAGATATCAAGCAGTTCCTGGCTGCTGACATAAGCGGTTCAGGGTTCTGGGGTTGTTTTACTTTGGGGCTTCGGCGTTAGTTCTCCAAGGCTTCGCGGAATGACGAAAAAAGACTTCCATCAGCCTTCAAGACAACAGCGAGCTCTAATGCGAAAGAGGATTTGGTCAAAACTCACTGCCTCCCCTGAAGCACTGCGCGCAATGCGTGAGAAACAAAGTGCTTTCACAATTCTCCACGACTTTGTCATCAACCTGGTAAAGTGATAAATGTTGGCCGGGAATAAGCCAAACTAACACACAGAGCCGTTCCGATCCACATACGCACTGTTGGTATTCATGTTCGGGTTAGCGCAGTCAACCTTGCATTTCAGCTGATTGCGATTAGTCGCGATTCGGGTTCGCTCTTGCGGAGCATTTATGTGAGGGCGGTAGCGTGGATGAGAGAGTATACAAAACATCCTCATGCTCTGTCTGTAGCTGAGCCCTCAGGAAACAATAAAATAATCTGCTAGACTATACTGTACTGTACATAATACACTATCATGTATTAGACTATACAATAACAAACTACAATATATTATACTAGAGTATAACATACCTCAAATATTCTAACATACTATAATACCCTCTGAGGCACTGGCCAGCCCGTCTCCAAGCCTCGGCGTTGACCACAGGGGTTAAGGGTTTCGTGCGGCTTGGGGCTTGCTGAATAGTATATTCTTGTTATAGTCTATCATTATGGTACAGTTTACTATGAATTGGTAGCCGACAGGGTCTGAGGAGTGGGGCTTATGAGGTTTTCACTTCAGGGTGTAGGATGGAAGCTGGACTCGGAAACACAAAGCCACTTTTTCACAGCTATTCTCTGCTTGCGAGAATGCCTGAATAGGAGCTCACGCGTAACATAAGTTGCAAGCCCACACTGACTCTACACATTTCCATGCCCTAAGACCCCTTGGCTCTCAGTTCCTCCTGTCAGGCCATCGAAAGACATCCTTACAAGTAGGCGGCCCCAGTTCCGGTATAACGCATGTATTCGATCACAAATACGCAGAGTAATTAGGCAGCTGATCGGCATGAATTTCGAGCAACAGATGCAAAAGTGACCACAGCCATGGCACTAGCAAACATGGCAGTGGCGTCCTAGCGGCGCTAATTAGGCGCTAGTCGAGCAGTTCAGCCGACGAGTTGAAACTGCCGTGAAAATTCTATCAGCATCTGAAGCCCTCCTGGAGCGCATGTAAAACCCAGGCACACTCCCCACACACTGGTAGCAGCTCGGTGCGCAACCCAGCTGTGAACCCAGAGTGCGAGTGCGCTTCTCGCCCTCTACCGAGTAGACCTTCTCGGTGCAACGAGGACAGCAAGCACAGTGTCTGTGGTTTAGGCCTCAGGCTTTACGATCCGGAAAACTTATGTTAAGGCTTTGGGGTGCTAGACATTCAAAGGAACTACACTTTTTGTGGGAAAATTGAGCGAGTGTCGCCGTAAATGCTGCCCAATCCACCAGGTCGAGACACAAAGACGCGAACCCAACTTGGCAACGTGGAGCACTTGTACCCGATTCAAACCGTGAGCACCGAGGCTAGGACGGACCTAGGTCCAACAAACTGCACACGGGAATCTCGGAGCTGGAACTCCCAAGCCGCAACTCCCATCACCTTCTACCCCACTGCATGCAAGCCTACACCCCTGAACCCTGAATCCCAAAAAAAACATCCTCGAGGATCACGGCCTGAAACCATGAACAGAACAGCCTCGACTCTAAATCCCCATAACCTGCAGGGACCTAAAGACTCCAAGTGGGTGTCGAAGCAATGTCTACCATACTACGCATGAGCAAAAGAGGGATCTGAAGGCAAAATGACGTGTTGCTCTTCATCCCCTCAACACATCCTCGAACAGCGAGGGTCGCAGAAGCTTCGCGGTGCCATGATGCTGAAGACCCGAAATCGAAGCTAAGTCAGGATCATCTCTTGAAGCGATGATACTCAACCAGGGAGTTGAGGGAGAGCGAAGCTTGCCTTCAATCAGAAGCAACTGGCACTTTCCGAGTTGGTCGGACGTTTTGACTGCGCGATCAAGCGATCAGATCAACCAAACCAAGGCATATGGAGCTTAGGAGGGCTCCCAGTGCAGCATCGAAGACGAAGCAAAAAAGGCAAGCGGTCACTCGTACCTTGGTCATAGCTGACACAATGCGAAGAGCTTACGAGGCCGGCCAGAAGTGTCGCTACTTCAAGATGCCTCCAAGCTACAGAGCACGTGAAAACTGACAAAAAAACGTCTGCGCTTGACCGGCGAACTCTCGCGGAGCGCCACCGAGGAGATCTTCAGGATCACCTCGCGGCCCGTCTTGTCGTGTCGCCAGGTCAAAAAGAACATCAGCAGCACGGGTATCCTCGGATGGTCTAGGGGTTAGGGGTCTGGGTACCTTTTGAAACTCCTCAACAGCAGCTGCCGTCTAGGAGTCACAACCGAATCACCAGGCGCTGCCACGGCTGCATCACCAGCGCCAGGGGCAGTCCCAATAACAACCCGATGCACATCGGCAGGCACATGGGCGAGCACGCCTTGCTGAAACCTCACTGGAAATCGGCCTCCCTCATTGCGACGGGACGGTACATTATGACTCATGCTGCCGGGGCACTCCGCTGCAGGCTGCGCGCCAAGTCGATTAGGTCAAGATACTCTGGGCAGAGTTCGCGAAGCTCCTATCGTGAGATTTCTCTGGGAGCGAAGGACGAGTTAGTGTTCCCTACAAAGAGCACCAGCAGGTCCTCCCATTGCTGCTGGCGGAGCCTGGTGACCTCTTGCTGCCGCGCCCACCTCGTCCGTGTCTCCGGATGGAAGATTGGAGGAAGCTTTGAGGATTTACCAAATGCAAAAACGTGAGCCCCACAAGAGTCAGGTTTTTGCTCCTCGGTTGTAGAGTTCGTGTCGTTGAGCTTGGGATTCTGGGCTTCGTCCATCAACCTGAAGGGCCTTTCCTGGTCCAAAGCGGAGTCTCTACAGCTCTCCTGGAAGAAAGATGCAGGCACGAAAAGAACTCTATCCTGTTACATCTTATTACATTGTCCACATCAACGCAAAGGCGCTGCCCGTCTGAGTTGTCGCCAAACTGACCTTCCACGATTGGAGTTGCGAGGACGTTACGCAAGGCGTTGCGGACGACCACGCCCTCGCTCCGCAGTGGTCGCCAGGGTTTCGTTGTCCCTCAGCTGCACTGCCGCGTGTTGAAACTCCAGTCGACGACCGCAGCCACGCACTCGGCATCATCCCGGATCCACTCGTCGGCCCCAAACAGGCCTTTGCTCCGGAGTCAGACCTAAAAGTGCTGAGACCCGACCTTCCCTTCATGAGAGTCTGTTTACAAACCCATGCCTACGTCCGGGTCGTTCTTGGCAATGGCCAGGAAAGCTACGACCCCCTCGCGCTTTCTGAGAAAAAGCACCTCCTCGTGGCTAGCCAGCCACCCGGAATCAAAAAGATCTCTGTCGCCAGCCAGTAGCCGGATCTCGGGTTCAGGAATGCCTCTGCTTCGAGAAATTTGCTTCTTCACCTCCGCCGAGCGCACTGGGCGCGCCAGGGTGCAAACCGCTGCCCCGGAAAACGCCTCCCGCACCGTGAGCTGTCGCATGCCAGCTCCGATCACCTGTGCCAGATGGGTGATTGTCAAAATTAAGGTCCCTTTTTGGAGTGCCCTAAATAATAAATGCCGTATTAAAATAAGGACTCAAAGAGGGACCCCAATTTTGACCACCCAGATGAAGGGATATCGTGAAAATGTGGTCTGTAGGCTTGTCAAGAGTCAACCGTCGACCCTCCCGCTGCTTCCGACATTTTTACTCGTTGCACTCCACTGCTTGCACAGGCCCTCTCTGAAGCGATCATGTGACAGCCCCTGTATCCCATATCCCGCAGCTTCTTCACAATAAAAGCGCTCCTAACAGGGATCCAGTCACGTCCGGGCCACCTTGACGGTCCGAAAAGCAATCATAGCCGTGAGGCGGGCGCATCGGAGGAGGCAGCCAGCAGGTTCAGGGCAGTGACCCCAGACCCTGAACCCGAAATCCCAAACCCCTCCATAAGCCTTATAAATCGAACACTCCCAATCCGAAGCTCATGCCACTCAAAGCGCAACCGCGGGGCTCAAAACGTTTGCAGATCTGCAGCTACCAGTGGGACTTATACTTGCAAGGGTGCAGGTATAGACTGGACAAAAAGATGTTACAGATTCCTCGTTCCGCTGGGCCTGGAGGGCTCTAGGAACGCAGACAACCCACTTGGAGGTTCAAGGTATTACAGATACCCTGAACTTCCAAGTGGGTTGTCTGCATTCCTAGAGCCCTCCAGGCCCAGCGGAACGAGTCCGGAAGCGCAGGGATGGCAGAGAAAAAGCCGAGATCGGCTGCGGAGATGGGCTTTTCGGGCTGAGGTCCTTTGGGGCAACTTTAAGATTTAGGGTGATGAAATTTGGGGGTTGGGGGTTTCGGGAATTTGATTTGTATGAGTCGTACCAGCACTGCGCTTAAGGGTACTTGTAGCAACCTCAGGCATCGGGTGCTACAAGGGCTGGATGACCTTCAACACACACCTTCTCCGGGTGTATTTCAAGAGGGCTGGAGGAACCCTAAACCATACCTTAACCCCAAAAACCGGCAACCCTAAACCCTGCCTTAACCCCAATAAACCGACCTTTTCAGGACGTAGATAAAGAAATTACATTAAGGAACCCGAACGAGGTACGTTATGACTGAGAAAGAAAAGGACTCCCTAGAATCGGGGTCTGCGCATTGAAACTCTGCAGTTACAACTTTCTAAGCTCTGTATCAAGCATGGCTCAAGCCTTCCGCTGCCCCCTACAAATGAGGCTGGCTTGGAAAGACCATGAAGGCCACTGTGAAGCGCCAGACTTCAGCCTTTTCCCCACAGTGGCCTGGAAGCGTATCCCTGCTGTCTGCAGCGCCTCCGCATAGGATGGCATCTGCACCTGTCATTGGAGAAACAGGGTGGTTACAATAGTTGCGGTCCAGGGTTTAGGGAGTTTCAAGTTTTGGAGAGTTCATGTACAGTTCCGGCGCTATGCCTCTCGAGTTCCACCTCCAGGGAATTCCTGGAGGAGTATGGAAGAGTGCAGATCAAGCGCCCTATCTACATGAACCCATACCAAACCCTTCAAAACTCCCAAAATCCATAAAAGAAAATGTCAGGGGAACTTGAAGGCTATCTTATGTTTCAACAGCTTCGGACTCCTTGAAACGGTGCCTTGCCCGGAAGGACAGCTCGCCAAAGTTTCAGGATTCGGAGCTTTACAGGTCTGGGTTTCTGGTTTGGGGTGCAAATTCAGCGTTCCCTGAACCCTTCCCCCGCAAAGGGTTTCGGGTGTACGAATCCAAGAGATAGGAACATCAGAGACAGGTCGGGGCTGCCGATGCACAGAGCTTTGCACCAACCATGCCCAGCAGCACCTCTTCAGTCCGCGAAAAAGCGTCTTCTGTAACTTACAGTCTACGCCTTAGGGAGCCAAGGTCCGGGGTGGGGTCCCGGGTAGGGAGCGCAATCTCTCAGCATACCGACCTGTTTCCCAAGTACCATATCCATGCACGAGCGACTCAGATGTGATGTTGCGACTTCCGCCTGAAACCACTTCCCCTGACCTCGCAGCTGCACTTCGAAGGCCGATAAAACCACAAAACCTTCATAGAGGCCCTCTAGAATCGAACAAAGTCCGTTGATTCCTGCACAAGTACCCAAACCCTATACCACCTCAAAACCACAAAGCCGATAGTTCCCGTAGCAAGATCCCCCTTGCCTGCTCGCTTTGGAGCTCCTGCCAAGCTTTCGCCATCCTCGCTGCTTAGAAGGATGAAAATTACACGGGACTGGGCGCTTTTTTGAGGTTCAGGATTCTAGCGTTTAGGGTTTCAGGTTGAGGGTTCGGGATAAACCTATGAGGAATCCCATAACTGCTAACAACACCCATCCTAGCACCTTCATCATGAACTCCCCATATTCTACCCTATCGGCGGGAAGGGCGGTTTCGGGCTGTTGGGCTCGAGCACCTGGGCCCCAACAGTCAACACAAGGTTTTCTGGAGCCGGGGATTAGGGATTCGGGTTTAGGGTTTTAGGCCAGGAAGCAGCCCTTCAAGTTATTCAAGTCTGATAGATTGGAAAAAACATAGGGCCAGGTGACCCTTAAGCGCAAGAATCTGGCGATGGGTCGATATCCTTCTGTCTTCAGCATGTTTGGAATTCATTGCCTGATATTCCTAATAATCTTGAGCCGAATTGATATTTCATGTTTTCAGAAAGCCCTTGGTTTTGGAAGTGTTCACTGTCAGTGAACACGAGAAACAGAACATGGGAAGAGTCTTGAAACAATCCGGACAGCAGAGGATGCGTCGTGTGTCGACCATGGAATCCGACCCTAGTGAACGAACACTCGACACAACCCAAAGCCCTACCACCCCGAAAGCTCAACGGGTTGTCAACGCCCCAAAGTCCTAAAAACTCTTGAACCCACCTAAACAGAAACCGCAATACCCCAAAACCTGAACCACTGCAACCGTAAATAGACACTTCTAGTAGCCTCTTATGAAACCATCGTAAGACTCCGGCCTAGCGCCGGGAACGCCCGCCCCGGCTGCTGGTGATTTTTCTCGAACTTGGCAAAGCTTTAGGCTTCGGGGTGAGGGTTCGGGATCTCGGAGTTTTGGGTCTGTAGGGCTTAGGGTGGAGAGGTTTCGCAGTTGGGATCAAGCTGGAGGGGTTGAAGGTTTAGGGTTTGGGTTCTACTGCAGGGTGGAGGGGTATGGAGTTTTTACGTTTTGGGGTGCTGATGCTAATGCTGATGGTCAGGGGATCGGATAGCGGTGATTAACATCCTCTCTCTCGATCTGGGCGCAGATGTGCCAGAATCTGGTAGAACCATCCATACCGAGAACAAGAAATTCACCCTCCGCTGCACCCGAAGCCCACCTTCTTGTTGACTTTCATAGATGCTGCCCCAACAACCAGAAACATATGACCCTAAACATCCTACTGCACGCCGAGACTCTTGCCCGGCCACAAAAAAGGAAATGAGACACTCACCCCATAGATTTGTAGCCGTCATGCGATGCCGCGGCAAGGAGGTCGAACCGTCTGGCCCAGAATCACCAAAACAAGGCGAGCCACTTAATTTAATAATACAAGAGCCTTAATAACAAGACCTAGGGGAATGGTTTACTAAGGTTCTTAGTATCAGGTTCTACAATACTGTACCCCTCTAGTAATCAAAGAGGTCGTGCCCTTCTGCTCTATGCTGTCAGCTCTTAGTCCCCTCGCTCGTCTCGCCGGAGCGCCCGGCCTCTGGAACAGCGACTTCCGTGCTTTGGGCTTTGGGTGGGGCCCCGGAATTCCTGGAGGGTTTCCTGCAGGGATCTGGAGGGCTAGGGGTGTAAGAGTGTGGCAGGTTGATGGCAGATACAACCGAACTTCAAGACTAAACAACCCCAAACCTCAAGAGCCTGATCGCCACCACACCTGCAAGCCTCGAACCTAAATCCTAAGCCCCCAAACTCCTAAACCCTAACCCCCCACAAAGACCATGCCTGGACGAAGCGAAAGTCTCCCTCGTCGTCCTCCGTCGCACCTGGCTCTGGATCAAAGTGGGGGGGGGTTCAGGTTTAGGCCGCTGAAATGAAGGGTTTAAGGATGTAGGTTGTGCTGCAAACTCAAGAACTAGTGGCGGTGGATGCAGGGTTCGTGTTCTGGCCCGTATCGCCCCGATCTACATAGACATGCACCAGTTTCGGCTGCGTGCGAAGTGTTCTGGTTGGCCCTCGAAGATCATAATCACGATCACGCATCACCGTAAGACGTCAGTTGGAAAGTCTCTTTAAGCGGTAAAGATCCTTAATAAGCCTGCCATCATGAAACAAATCGTGGTTCAGAATCGCGCGCTGGGCTTGAAGCCCGTTCTTTCCGAAAGACTTCAAGTTTGGACTCTTAAGGGATTTGCAGAAGTTTACGACGGGGGGTTTGGATCAAAGGGATCCATGAGTCCCACATAAGGGCTCCTTTGAGGTACCTATCTGGGAATTTGCAAGGCAAGCATGAAGGACCATGTCCAACGATGACTATACTTCCTGTTGCATTTGCCTGGGAACGTGTCAGTTGGACTTCGGCACTGCTGCTTCTTTCAAGCTAGTGCTTGTTCGTTGATGTATTGATTACGGTCGCAATTGCCATTTCCCTTGTTTCCAATGCTACCGCGTCCTTTGGGGGTCTCAACGTTAGAAGCTCTGATGAGTCTGGCTTGGAAGCCCTGCTCTCTCCTTGTCCGAGGTTTTGCAGTCAAGGTTTAGGCGGCTTGTGGGCTTACAATCGAGCATACAGTTGCATCTACTGAATGCGAGGGACTACTCAGCTGAGGGGCAGAAGAAGGTGTTCTTCTCCAGCTGCATGGGGATGTCGGTTTCTGCCTGCTCGCAGACTCACAGAGTCGTCAGGGTGCAAAGTCCCGTCCCCACGTCTTCAACTTCTTCGAACTTCTCATAGCCTGGCCTCAGTAACTGATACCAAGAAAAATTGGAGGGCAACATGCCGGCGGAGTAAAACCAGCAATAATGGGGATCACAGTCGTCATAGTCTTTGATTTATCCTCAGCCTAACCATCGTAAAAGCAGCACAGTAGCAGGAGCAATAGCAGTAGCAGCAGCAGTGATCGCATCGTTGCTTAGTGGACATGGTAGTAGTAGTAGTAGTAGTAGTAGTAGTAGTAGTAGTAGTAGTAGTAGTAGTAGTAGTAGTAGTAGTAGCAGTAGTAGTAGTAGTAGCAGTAGCAGGAGCAGGAGCAGTAGTAGTAGTAGTAGTAGTAGTAGTAGTAGTAGTAGTAGTAGTAGTAGTAGTAGTAGCAGTAGCAGGAGCAGGAGCAGTAGTAGTAGTAGTAGTAGTAGTAGTAGTAGTAGTAGTAGTAGTAGTAGTAGTAGTAGTCGTAGTAGTAGCAGCAGCAATTGCAGTACCAGTAGCCA